CTTTTAATTAAAATTTCTTAAATTATTACTCTTTCTTTTATATAGTATCCGTTATCGCGTATATTTTACAACCGTAAATATATAAATAATTAAAATTAAACTTATAAGGTTCGGTTTATACCCTCTTATAATAAATAATAAAGGTATAGAATTTTTCGTATAATAATTTCCAATCATAGAAATACTTAAACGATTAGTTAATAAAGTAAACTATAACGGAGACAATTTAGGGTTAAAAATTATAAAAAAAAGTTTACACTATTCGTTATTAAATACGCCTTTTCTTTAATTATACCCTCTAAATATTCAATATCGCTATTTTAAATGTAGGTATTAAATATTAAAAACTCGAAAACAATAAAGCGTATAACTAATTTATCCCTAACGTATTAACTATTAAATTCCTTATTATATTCGATGTATTTAACTTTAACATTATACTAGTAATTAACTATATAATAACTGAAAAAAGTCCTTTAACAATATATTTAATTCGTTTATTGGCTATATAAACGTCCTAAACGAACCCAATCTACTAATAAGTAATAAATATAACGTACTTAAACCCTTCTTTCCCTTCTTTATAATCGAAGAAATTAATAGCGATATATTCTTCTAAATTAAACCCTCAGTCGTATACTTTTTATTTAATTTATCGTTTAATTTTTAAAATACCGTACGCGTCGTATTAATAGGTAGCGGGGCTTCTAAATCTAGCGCCTTCAACGTTATATAAATATTTAAAGATTTAAGAACTATAATAACCAAATTATCTATACAGAATTTCGCAAGTATTTTATATATATAACGGCTGGTAAAAGAATTAAAGCAATTTTAATAAATAAAGAAAGCAGCGTGGTTAAAAGAGAAGGGTAGGTATTTAAAGACCGTTTAGTAATATATTTTCTAAAGGAAATGAAAAAGTAAACCGTTTAGCCGACAGAGGTAATTATTAGGGGGTTTATAATCCTAATAAAAACTTTACTTTTAAAGTAAACGTAATAATATAAAATTTATAGTAAAATTAAAGTAGAAAGCTACCTCTTCTAACCATAGCTTTAAAATTCCTCTTTCTCCTTATATTTTTATATTTATAATCCTAAAACCTTTAATAAGTATTAAAAAATTTCTAGCCCAAACGCAATCCTTTAAAAACGCTATTTAAAATAATAAAAAATAACTAATTTCGTTGAAAATATAAATAGAAGCCCTAGAATCGAAAATTATAGAATTCTTAAGCGGGTAAATATTACCTTCACTATTATTCGCATTAAAAATACTTTATTTAACGAAAAATATTAAATTATAAATATTAATTTTTTATTTCCTTTATTATCACAACGTAATAATTTACATAAAAGTAATAAAGCAGTTCCGCATTTAATTCCTAACCTTCTCAACTTCTTCATTAATTTTAGGATATTTTCAAAGTTTTTATTAATAAACTTCTAAATAGGGCCGCTTAATTTCTATTTAAAAATATCCTTAATTTTAAATATTAAATACTAATAGCGCGTTATTAAGTAAGGGCTTTGTTCGTAAACTTTATAAAGCGGCGTAATACTTCCTCTCTTTTTCGGCCGTAAAGAATTTCTCGCATTTTTATCTACGCTATATTTCTTCCTTACATTTACTTTCCGCTTCTTTTTATAATTAAAATTAAGAGCATCCTCCTTATTAAATACAAATTCTTACTAACCAAAGCAGCTAATACCCCAAGCGCTACACACTATAACCTTTTTAAAATTAATTAATAATATAGTATATTCTAATATATTAACCCTTTTAAAATTAGCAGATACGTCCTTATATTTTAAAAATATATTTTCGAATTTATTATTAAATTTCTAACAGTTATTAACTTAAATAAATTTGTATTTATAAACTATATTAATGAAGTTAGTAAATTATAAAGTAGGAGAAATTACTTTATTAACTCCAAATCGCCTACCGCTAATAATAAGGATTTTCTAATTAGATAATTACCTTTTAAAGTTTTTAAATTGCTTTTTTATAATTTCTTTAATAATAGTTTAATAATTTCCATAGGCTTTAACGATTTAATCGATAGGGCAATAGTTAAATTAATTTTTAATTTCTTTAAACTAATCGCGGGTAGATTTATTCTATTTATTGAAGGTATCGGCATAATAGGACGTAATATAAATATTTATTTAATTACGAATTTAGGTATTAGCGTTGTAGAAGTCTTTTTAATATTTATAGCGAATATTATATATATTATTAATTTAATCGTACGCTATTTTCCTCATAATTATTAAATTAATAGAAGGGTTAATAATTATATCCCTCCTAATATCCTATTCGGTATAATATTTATTATCTTCTTTTTCTTCGTCTTCTTTTTCCAAATTTCCTTCCTCATTATTTTTGTTAGCGCTGGCGGCGGCTTTTTCTTAGAATTAAGTAGCCGTAGTAGCTTCGGTAATAGTACTATTCGTATTAGTAACTGTAGTAGTAGTAATAATTATCGCAATTATAATTATAACCTTCTTAATCCAGATTCTTCTATTAAATTTGACGAACTCCTTCTTTACCGCCAAAAGGCGGTCCTTTATTTGCTTAATAAGGAAAAAATCTTCCGGCTTAAGGGGTAAAACCCTTTAAATTATAAATCTTCCCTTGAGTAGCTAATTGCTAAAGTCCTAATTACTACCAGCGAGTCTTTTGAAAGTTTTATACCAATTAGGCCAATTGGAAGAGGTAATGAGGATGATTGTGATAGCCTTATTGGTAGATTCTTTTAATAGAAATATAGCTAATATTATTAGTTTCGTAGAGATATTACTTCTAATCGATAATCGTAGCGTTAATTATAAATACGTAAATTAGATTATTAATTGTCAGATACAACTATATAGAATTGATTGATTGAAGAGTGTGTATATCCGCTTTGAGCTGTGTATAATAGAGGGTATGGAGGGTGCTGGGGTAACCCAGATATGCCCAGAAATTAGGTAATATTAGGGGGCTGGGCAGTTAACCTATATAGAGTTTAGCTAGAATCCCAGAAATCCACCCTCTACTCTGACAGCAGGCATGTCGCACCGGATGTTTTAGCGCCCCGTGCGTACCTGGTCTTCCACTTCGGTGCCATTTCCACTTCTCGGTCATGTCATCTTTCCGTTTCCCTGTGCTTGGGTTCATCGTCGATCAGATCTCAACTTCAATCTCACCACACCCACTTGATAACTCCGCCGCTTACATATCTCAAAGACGGCTTTCTGCACCATCTTTTTCCATCAACATAACGCACCCATCAATCTGGCATTTCCTTACCCCATCTTGACCCAATCGATATCGCTGCCCTGCATTGGACTTCGCGCTGTGATTGAACATAAACTGGGGGTAACCTAACCTCAGCCGAGTAACCCAAGTGGGCTGCCCGACCGGGACCCGACCGGACTGGGGCATCAAGACGCACGCACTCTCAGGGCAATCCAGGGCATCATGCGCCGACCCAGATGATTGAACGACGGCCGTCCCGGTGGACAACTCATCCTGCAGCAGGGACCCATCTGCAACTTCCGCTGCCTTCGACGACTTCCATTCGCTTTTACACTTCAACGTCGACCTATCGTCGCTCGCCAACCGCTTCTGTATGACATAGACCTCCGTCACTGTCGCATTCCGACTTTGCCTTCTGGAAGTCATTTCGAGTCGGCCGCCGCCATCGCCCGCCTTCCATCTCCGTTGAGGAGACGAGTTTGACGACGTTCCTTGGGTATTGGTCTTCGAGGTCTCAGTCCCTTCCCCCCTGGATCCTGGAACTCCCGTGGCTTGCGCAAGAACCTCGGATGCCGTCCCATGTTTTCCCTCTTTGCCAAAGTTTTGATTGTGCCGTTGTTTTGTAAACAGCGGGGGGTACGGGGGTCCCAGTAACTTGCATGGCCGCAACGCTCGTTCATGCACAGAATCTTCGTCCAGTGTTGCCCTTGAAGTTTCGCTGTAGCCTGCAAGATTGTTCGGTTGGCCTGGTTGGCTCTCACGCGCATCGCAGTCGCAGCGGCATCGCAGCACCCCGTACCTCTATGTACGCTACAGTACAACAGCCCCGGTCAAGCCTGAACCTCCGCGTTTGTCCCCCTGTCTCGAGATTCACAATTCTTCGTGTTTACTCTGTACATCCTCCAGCAAAGCGCTGTCTCTCCCAGTGCGGCTATCTGCTTTCCATCTCATCTCATATCACAGTAACATTGGGTACCGCGCCCGCGGCTGTTGCTTCATACCAGGTCGACTGCTGTCCACTGACGTTAGCGCCCAATCGAACCCCCCAACCCAGGTTGCCCGTGGACGTCGACGGAGCCAAAACTCAAAAAGGCACAGGGCGCTGGAAAACGGGGCGTCTGACGTCGCAGGGTCTTGTGGGGGCCCACCTTCAAGCAGGAACAGCTGGAGAGGTACCGGGTACCTTGCAAAGGCACTGGGGCAACCAGGACCTGCTTTACCTAGTTCGTGGTTAGCCTGTTTTCGGCGCTGGTTTGCCGGGTCTGCTGGGGCTTCCTCTCTGCTGGATACTCGCAAGTTTTGCGCTGCGCATACTTATCAAAATCCAACAGGTGGTCCGTTCACACCGCCCCGTGTCTCTTGTTAAAGAAGCAAAGGGGTCCTCTTTGGATGGTCCCACGCGTCCCAGTGACCCGTCGACCAACCTCTGTTTCCCCTGCAGCAACCCGGGCTTACAGGTACCAGTGACTACTGGCCCTCTCCGGCTTGTTGGCGACGGCGATTGCGACCTGATTGCGACTGCGACTGCGCGCGCCACATCAATCGGTAAACACCTTGAAAAAGACCCAACACTGGACTCTTTGAGCCCTCCGTCTCCATCCTTGAGCCTCAACTTTTTTTTTCCCTCACACGCCTCACTCCTTTGCTAACCATTGCCGCCGTCAAGCCCCTAATTGGCCCGTTCTTGTGGACAGATTGCTACCTTGGTGGCCTCCCTCCGACCTAGTACATTTTGCTCTTCTGTGTGATATTGGTGAGTTTTCATCCAGTCAACGCATGAAGCATGCCAAGGTTGATGAGTTCTAAACAAAGCTACAGTGCCCAAGTTCAGCTTTACAAAGACTATATCTGATTGACAGTCTTCCGCCGAAACTCTTGAGCGAAGCACTTCATTCATCTCAGCGCTCGTACACCAACTTTCCCAATGCAAGATTTTGTGCCGGGGCCAACATAGTATTCACCACTGACGCAACACACGAATCGAATTATCTCGGCAGTCCCTCGTTTAACTTATCATCTTCATTGGACCAATTTGCCTCCCTCAGGTAGCGAAGGGACAACTCGTCAACATACCGCAGGAGTTCACCACCATTTTCATTCTCGGACACCATTCGACTCCTGTCAGTTGGACTACTGGATTCGTTACTTTTGGCGCCTGAATTCATCCTAGGGAAAAGATCAGTCGAATCGATCGCGAAATTTTTGACTTCATGGCTTCCTCGGAGATCGACCAAAAATTTCTTGGCAAGCTTGCCCGGCTAGTCGAGAATGAAAACCCCCTGCTTTCCTCCGTCCTGTTCAAAATTCTAGGACTTTCGATAAACCTCTCGAGCCAGCTCATCACCGCACGAAAACAGCGCCGACAAGACGGAAGCTCAGCAAATCCCCCACTAGACCTTCATCTTCACATCATCTGGTTGTCACGGGAGGGGTTACTACTGCTCGATCAATATGTCCTGCCATCGGCGACGCTAAAGAAGAATGTCGAACTCAAAATCCTAGCATACAAGCTGCTAGCTTCGTTCTATCACATTATCGTCTTGTTTCACAACACTCCACCTGTTACGACGATAGGAACCAACACCCCGGAAGGCCAGTCAACAACCAGTGTAGTGAACGGCATCGACAAGGGAAAGGGGGTAGAAAAAGGCAATGGCACATACGGTCACGGTGCTTCAAAGTCGATATCTGAAGGGGGGCCCGTTGGCCCACCTCCAGGTTTTGGTCCACAACCACCCACAGCCTTCCTCATGAAGCCCGGGGACTACCTACCACTGGCCCAGCAATGCTTCAAGGAAGCTATCCAGCTCGCGGAACAGCATCTTTGGGGATCACATTCGCTACGGCTTTCGGTCAAGACGGAATATGCAGCATTCCTGTATGAATGCGTTCACGATGCCGAGGCTAGCCGAAAACTCGCAAAGGAAACCATCTCGGAGGTGTATGAGGCCACGGAAGGCATCGACAACGACATGTTCAACGACGCGTGTGAGCTCGTCACAGTCCTCGGGAAAATGATGAAGCGCGGTTTGGGGTCGAATAATACTCTTCGAAAAACGTCGAATCCTGGCTCGCAGGGGACACCCAGGATCGAACAAACAGAAGCCCAGGCACCCGTCACAGCTCCACCAGGGATGATATGACGAGAGAACTCGACATTGGTTACTTTCCACTCTGTCGGCAGCGCTCTGGAAGGAGGACCCAAGTCCAGATGTCAGAGAGAAAGCCGTTGAGGATGCCCATCACCACGGAAGCCAGGCACGATCAAGCACCGTCCGATCGCAGGGGTATGCCAACAGACTGAAACGTCCAGAAACCTGGCTCAATGCATCAATCACCGAGCAGCACGAACAACTTCGGATCCCGGATGTCGATCTTGCACTATGACATCATCACCTATATACTATGTATATCAGCCTTTTGTTGTTATATATGCCGATTAATACGCTTCATCTGGACCCACGGCCTTCTATATTACACGACATATAACCATCGTCCGAGTATCAGAAAGCCATGCCGTTTTCGACATACGAGTTCGAGCGCAACTTCTCTTCTATCTTGCAGTTTTTGGAGTTAGAGCGTGATCGCCTTTGGTCGCTATACAACGAACATCATGTCATGTCACTTACGGTCCAATCATATTCTTGTTTTTTTTTTGGTATAGTCATTGCATTCTTTTGCTTCTCTCAGTTCGATACCCAAACGCGTCCGCGTTTCGACCGATGGTGTCTTCTTTTTGTGGCTTTTTGCGTTGATATCTATCTGTTTTGGGTGGCCCCGGAAAATCGGTTTGATGGGTGGTTGTTTTTGGATATCTCATGCAGCTGTAGTTCGCTGCCAACATAACTGTAACTGTGTAAATACTATTGAAAGATCGTCGACAGATGATGGATCCCGTTATAAGAATGAAGAAAGCATGGTTCGGTTAAGAAGGTGCGATTGTGCGAGGAAGTTCAGCCATTGTAACCCAAAGAGTGAACGATAAGCATAGTACTAATTGATAACCAGAAATGCCTTTTGCCAAAAGGTGAAAGTGGGGATTGCGATCCTGGTGAAACGGAGCGTCCGAGGGGAAAACAAAACAAAAAAAAGACGTTGTCGAAGAGTACTGAGGAACGTGAACCTCGACCAACCCAAGCATATGCTCTGTTACGGCACAGATCAAATACGCTGTATAGAAGACACCTCTGTAACCGAATGAAACACATTCTCTCAGGCACAGTTCTTCCGTAGCATCAATACCCCGTGGGGAATGTTGGTGCCCTCGTGTAAACAAAGAAAAAAGGGGTGACCCTCGACCAAACGAGGGAGCACATCTGGGTTAGGGTTGATTACTAACCGCTCTTCAAATGCTTGGCACTCGGCATAACATTGAGTGGCGGCTGGCAACTGAAACGTTCCCGTCCTGCAGTCGAGCCTTCCTTTCCAGATCATCAACTCTCCAACAACAACAACACAACCTCGAAAAGTCGAACTCGACAACTTTCGCTTCCCGTCATCCAAGCAACCCATCATCTCCGTCGCATAACCAACCTCGACCCAACTTGGCATCCAAACCGTCATCCGCCGCATCTCCCACCGAGCGAAACCTTCCCTTCCACCCACCAAAACCACACCACCAAACCAAAACCACCCGCCCGACTCGCGCGCAGCGAGCCCATCACCCCCTCACGATGCCCAAAGCAGAAGTCGGCTCCGCCAAATACCTCGCCAACAAGATGAAGTCGCGCGGCCTCAACCGTTTACGATGGTACTGCCAGCTCTGCGAGAAATCCTGCCGCGACGAAAACGGGTACAAGATGCACTGCCAATCGCCGTCGCACACGGCCAAAGCGCTCGAGGCGGGTACCAACTTTAAAGGTGTACAAGACACCTTTTCGGATCAATTCCTCAAGGATTTTGTTTCCCAATTAAAAACCAGTCATGGAGAAAAAGAAATCCACATCAATAAGTTTTATCAAGAGGTGATTGCGCGCAAGGATCATGTGCATTTGAATGCGACCAAGTGGCATTCCCTTACCGAGTTTGCAAAGTATCTGGGCAGGGAGGGGGTGTGTAGGGTGGAGGAGAAGGAGGGCGAGGGACTGTTTGTGGCGTGGATTGATGATAGCCCCGAGGCGATGGAACGGAGGGAGAAGGTGAGGCGGAAGGAGATGATGGATAAGGGGGATGAGGAGAGGGAGATGAAGGTGTTGAGGGAGCAGATTAGGAGGGCGCAAAAAGAAGCCGAAGCGAGAGGGGTCAAGTTTGATGCGGAGGCTGCGGAGGAGGAGGAGAGGAAGGAGTTGAAGAGGAGGGAGGGGGAGAAGATTAAGTTGAGCTTTGGGAAACCGGCTGTAGCAAAGAAAGAGGAGTCGGGGTCGGGGTCGGGGTCGGGTGAGGAGGGTTCGACATCGGCGACGACGACGCCAACACCGGGTGGAGGGGATGGATCGGCTGTTGCTGCGGAGGAGAAGAAGGATACCGCGACGCCACCTTCGACGACGGATGGTGTAAGTTCAGAGCCGGCAAAGGTGGACGCGAGCACAAAGGGCGAGGAGGCTGCCAAGACGACGGCAGAGGAAAACAAACCTGCGACCGACTCGAATTCTGCTCCTGCTGCTGCCGCTGCTGCTCCTAAGCCGGTATCAATGAAGTTCGGCATGAAGCCCCAACCGAAGAATGTCTTCAAGAATGCGTTTGCTGGAGCTCCCAAGAAGGTTATGGCTGCTCCGCCCAAGAAGATGAGCGAGGCCGAGAGGATAATGAAGGAGGAGTTGGAGCGCAAGAGGGCTCGTGAGGAGAAGGGTGGGAACCTTCCCAACAAGAAGCCACGCTTTCAGTTTTAACCTACTGTGTGTAGTTTCTTGTGGGGTACCGGTTAGGGTGTTTTTCTATGGTTTAGCAATATTTCGGCACATGCTATAGGCGTTTTCGGCGTGATGGGAGATTCTGTAAAGAGATACCACATTGCATTGGGAGGTTTTCGTAAAATGGATCCATAGCTGATGAATAACTCTTCCGTATGGGATAGCTAATGATAAACTCATCCGTATGAGTGAGTGTTGTAACCCGCTTTAAAGTATAATAATAGCCATGGGTGAATCATGCAAAACTCAAAATGGCCGCTATCCTGCTGTCTAGACCACGCCCTTTAAACCAGCCTTAACGCCTTGAACTCCTGTTGCCTTCTCTTGTAACAGGCATTTCGCTCCTGTGTTGTCTGTGGACGATCTATTATCGGTCCTTCTTCCTTCTTTCCTATCGATCCCCTTTCCTTCTTTCTTGTCGGCCCCCTTTCCTTCTTGTTCATCCAACAAGGCTTCTTGCACCACAGCTTCGAGTTTCTAGTCCGCCTCCGTCGCACTGCCATCGCGCCTGCTCCAAGTTAGCTTCCGGTTGTGCCCCCAAAACACAACGATCATAGCCTGCTTCGCCAGACTATACGGAAGTAAGCAGGAAACTTACGGAATATACTGGATGCCGTCATCCTCCAGCGTAGTGCGGACGTCATCCGGCAACTGGCCCGACACCTTGGTGGCATATACACCCTTCACATAACCGTCCAGCCTCTGCCACTTCGCCACCCACGACTTTTGGGGGTTCGCAATGGTGATGATTCCCTCGAAAACTTGCGACGTGCAGCTGTCGATCTGATCCGGCGAGCCCTGGAGATGGAGGAAGTCTTCGCAGTTGGGGCATCCTTCGTCACGGAAGCGCTGTTGACACAAACAAGAAGGTTAGTAACCTAACTATAGAGAGGCTAGGGGAGGAGAAGAAGGGAGGGGGCTCGTCTTACAGCATAGGTCATAACGATAGAGCAGACCATGCAGGCACGAAGGTAGCGCTGCTGGCCGGGGGCGACGTAGTTCTCCGACATTTTGTGGTAGAACTGTAGAGACGGCGGTGTTACTGATGAATTTGCGAGCGGAAACCGATACTTTTTTTGGTCGTGACCTGATGGAGTTATGAATAGTTGAGCGAGTGAATATTACTGGAAAAGGACAGTTGACGGAGAGAGATGTTGTTAGGTATTTGGAGGAATGCATGTGAACATGTTCTTGGGGAAAGAAGATCGGCCGCCTCTCTTGCCTGCCGCAAGCTCCAGGTCTCAAAGCCAGGAGGGTTGTTGGTCTTGGCAGGCAAGGGTTGCACGGTCCAGTAGCTAGAGAAGCAGGAGAGAAGGTGGGAAAGGTGGGGGCCGAAGCTGGGGCCGATGGAGGTGGACAGTGGAGGTGGGACGCTGCCGTGCAGTTGGGCTGGCGCGGTCTCACAGTCACCCACAGTTCAACTATCAGCAAGCAGCAACTAGGTGGATGGCAGCTGTGCTTTTGGCCGAAGGGAGGAAAGTCAACTGCTGATACTGATAACTCTCCCGTCATTCTCGACACTTCCACTTCTTCCACTTCCTGTTTCGCTCAATCTCGATTCAACACGACGGAATCATCACATCTTCAGTTTGCTGCGCCATACACGACACCTGACAACGTCGTTCGAATTAACCACGACCAGCGCCTGGCGTAGCATGCAAAGCCCCTCGACTGTTAAACCACCTTCGATCCGAGCTCGGCCAATTACCCCGGAGAGTGGAAGATGAATTGATTGCACCCGGTGGAAGCATTGTTGAACAGGTGTAGCAGTAGCAGCAGCAGACCGCGCGGTACCTTAGCAGTGAACCACCTGACGACCCCGTCCGACCCCGACCCGACGACCACGGCGACCCCATCCCGTCACCAGCGCCAGCGATCGAACTAGGGAAAATGGGGAACAACCCCTCCACCTCCAGAGACTCCAAGACCCCGAATCCGCCATCCTCCTCCTCCTCTCAATCGCAGTCGCAGCACCAGTCGCAGGCTTCGATCCAAAATGACTCTGCCAGGGCAGTGAAGCGCGACACTAAGCACCCTATACCGGTCCAACATCAGCGAGTCGCTGCCCCTCCTGAGCCCTCCCTGACCCAGGCCCAGGGCACCGCCGTCCAGCCGCCCTCAACCTCCGCTCGTCCCAAGTCGCTGCACTCGCGAATGCCACCTTCTCAGAGCGGCTCGCCGGGCTCGTCGGTGCCTCCCAGCTCTGTCACCCCTACCCAACCTGTCGAAGTCAGACAGCCGAGACCCGAAGGCAGTCATGAGCCCGCGAAACCCGTAGCGGTGCCCGCTCCCAACCACGCCTCGTCGTGCTCACCTAGGTCGTCGGTGCGATCACCGCTATCAGAGAGATTGGATGCCTTTGAGACTGCGGCTATGCAGATGAGCAGTCTGCAAGATGTCTCGTATCTGACCAGGCCGCCACGACTACCTTTGCCGATCGAAGAAGAGGTCCACACGCCCGGATCGCCTATCATTGCCCCGACCGACATTGGGGTACCACTTGAGGACGCCGACACCTTTACTGCGCTCACCAGACGCTCTTCCAACTTGAGTAACAGCTCAACTCTGGATGAAGAAGACACGGAGGAGCTACGGGTGGACAAGACTAGACCGACTGTCCCCACTAGGCTCGAATGGCTCCGTGGCGGCGAGAAGGTGTACGTGACAGGCACCATTTTCCAATGGAACAGGAAGACACGACTACACCCTGTGTAAGTACCTTTTACGTCCCGACCAATCTCGCTCGGCCATTGATTAGCGCTTACTGACACCGTTACTCGCTAACAGTGAGGGCCGACCGGGTGTATTCGCTGCCACCATCAATATTCTTCCGGGGACACATCACGTTCGCTTCTTGGTTGACGGGCAGATGCAGACTTCGCCAGACTTGCCGACCACGGTGGACTTTGGCAACAACCTGGTCAACTACATCGAGGTCAGTCCTGATGATGTGGGGCGCGCCGCTGTCCAGGGAGCTGCTGCGAGCGCCGACAAGGATTCCCAGCAACCTACGGAGCCCAAGACCTCCGCGTCCCAGACGGAGGAAAGCAAGACACCTAGGGACCGACCTGTACCTCCGGCGGAGCTATTTGAGAACAAGATCCCACAATATCTACTCGACTTCGACGCGCCTGAGGAAAGTCCACCTTACCTGAGTGCTGTCAACGCCATCGAGAAACTCCCTACGCCGCCTGCGCTTCCTGGCTTCCTCGGCAAGCCCATTCTCAATGCGGCCACCTTGATCAAGGATGACAACAGCGTTCTGAACATGCCCAATCATACCGTTCTTAACCATCTAGCTACTAGCAGTATTAAGAATAATATTCTGGCTGTTTCGGCTACGACGAGATATAAGAACAAGGTTTGTCTTCCAGTGTTTCACTGCCTTTTCTTGGCACATGGTCACCAATGCTAACGGACTCCACAGTATGTGACGACCATCATGTACAAGCCAACAACCACAGAAGGTATTTGAGTTTGGGAAGGTTAGTAGACAGGACTGGGACCAGATGGCTGGTGGCTACCACACTAGACGAACAGCGCAAGTCATCAGTAAAAGAGCGGTGCAAAATGAACCGCCTGGTATGACCTATTCTATACGTGTCTACGAGTAATGTTTGTACGACGCTGTAGCGATGACCAGGGCACTTTATGTAAGCGGGCGCAAACTGTTGTCAGCGAACTGTCCTTGGGGATTCTGCTCCAGTAAAGGAGGCATCGAGGGACAGCAAGAGGCGCACGTAGAGTGGCTTCCGTAGATGGAGTAAAGGTTATAGGATTGGGGGTATCATCGTAATGGTCATCTTCATCTTCGTCTCCTTCCTTGTCATTAGTCCCTCCACTTGACGAAGACTTCGTCGGTTCTGAAGCGTTGTGTACATGTGCTTTCCTCAAGCGGCGTCCGAAAGCCTGTCTCGTAGGCCAATAGACCAGCGTGAGCAATCATGATGCCGTTATCGATGCAGAAACGTTCGTCAGTCGCGTAGACACTTCCGCCTCGCTCCGCCGCCATTGCGCCCATCATCTCCTGTAGCCGCTCGTTGCAACCGACACCGCCAACAATGAGAACCTGGTTGCTACCGACGTGCGCCATAGCCCGCTCCGTGATCTCGACAAGCATAGCAAACACCGTTTCCTGCAAGCTGAAGCACAAATCCGCGGGTGTAAACGGTTCACCGTCAGGACCCGGCTCGCCCGCCTTCATCTGCGCCGCCAAGTCATCGGCCCGCCCCAGGATTCCGCTGAACGAGCAATCCATTCCCTTGACCGCGTACGGCAAGTCCAAAAGCACTCGCCCCCCTTGCTTGGCCAGCTGCTCAATGTTGTAACCCGGCGCCGGGTCGTTGCTGATCTCCAGCGTGCGCGCGAACCGGTCCAGACAGTTGCCAACCGCAATGTCCAGCGTCTCCCCGAAAATCCGGTACCGCTGCTCCGCGTACGCAATCACCTGCGTGTTGCCCCCGCTCACGTACAGCACCACCGGGTTCGACGCCCCCGTTATCGCCCGCCCCATCTCGATGTGGCCCACGCAGTGGTTCACGCCCACCAATTCTTTTCCCCAAAGCAGCGCCAGCGTGCGGGCGCCCACGGCCACCGACGTTAGGGGCCCGCCCATGCCCGGTCCCTTGGTGTAGCAGATGCAGTCGATTTCGGAGATGGAGACCCCCGAAGCGGCGAGAGCTTTCTTGGCTACGCGAACAAAGTAGGCGCGGTGGTGTCGGGCTGTGTCCTTTGGAAGGAAACCGGTGCCGGGCGGAGAGACGAAGGTGTCGCGCACGTTGGAGAGGACGATGGCTTCGCCGGTTACGGGGTCGTGCGCGATGATGCCGATGCCGAGCTTGTTGGCGGAGCCTTCGCATCCGAGGGCGATGCGGCGGCCTTTGGCGTCGGGCATTGTTGGGAGTTGGGGTTGGGGCTTTGAGGAGATCGAGGGAGGGAGGGAGGGGGTTTCGGTTGGTTGGTTGGTTGGGAGCCGTTTCTTTGTGTCAAATAACTCGTATGGGTATTTCTTTGGTGATGGTTATCGAGGACCTTGATATCCTTCGATTGTTGATTGGCGTCGCGTCGCGTACTGGATAGGATGGATGGATGTTGTCAGTGCCACAAATCCAATGCCAGATGTCAGATGGAGAAAGTGATAATGGAGGGGCACCATTTTAGAGTGGAGAAATTTTTCGTCGCGTCTGTGAAAAGGCTAGGCGCGCCAGAGTGATCAAGGTGACGAAACTCGAGATCGGGATGAAAGAGAATGTTCGGATTTTTCCAGCGGGCTGATACCAAGTCTCTCAAGACCAGTTGATGGCTTGACCACTTTCAGCGACATTTCGGAAGCCATCCTCGCCCATCATTCCCTCTAGTACAACGGCTTCATGATGGGAATCGGCAATGGGATTTCGTCAGAGATCCCTGGAATCGATGAGGGGTTCAAGGAATTGTGGGACCCCGCAGCCGCGCTTGAGAGTGACAGTCTTGTGCACTGTGGGACTTTTATGTCCCTTTGGGAGAGTGAGATGCGCAATGCAATGTTATGTAAGGCAGGTACGTAGCCTGGCTCGTGCGCTAGTAGCAGCGATTTACACACACCAGCCAGTCCCACAGCCGTAATGGCGCAACGCATGAGTTGGGGAAAAGACTCTAGAAGGTTGATTGTTTCTAGCTTCTTCACCATTACAGCAAGGGCGTGCAGATGAGCTTATGTACGTGAATTCTGACTTTGCTTTGGTAGCGCAAAAAGGCTCCGAAAGGTTCGGGGTCTGTGGCATGGCGAGGCCGCGAGACTGGGCTTGGGGCTCTCTGCACGGGACCCCACTGCACCGAGAATCAATTCTCCCAGCCAAGCGCAGCCGTGCAACCATCTTCCATCCTCCGAGCCTGTATCACCCAACACCTCACCTTGTTGCCGCCAAACCCAAACCTCTTAACCGCACGGCCTTACCTGCGTCTTGCAACAACCCAGTCGACCTTCTCCTTGAAATCCCTCTCGAGCATCCTTTACTGCAATTTCTCCGGCAGACATGGCCGCTTGCAAGCTCTCGAGCTCACGGTGCCGTCTGGGCTGGATTCGAGGCCGTGAATTCAGCAACCGCCCCAAGTCTGTGGGAATGGAGATGGCTGTTTTCACTCTTCAGGTGCGTTTCCTAGGTTCTGCTGGCTTCAAAAACTTGCTTCAGACAACTCGATGCCTCGAACAATCTGTCTGATTTGGACTTGATATGCCCGGTACCTTTGTGGGTGAACCTAGGCTGACCAGAACTTTGCACCACAGGACCACCAAGCACCCACAGAAAGCTGGTGACTCGACACCTCCACTCTTTCTTTCACCTTCTTCGGATACCGTTTCTTCTTCTACCCTCCCGGTCCTTAGGAAATACTGTCGTGGGCTGCGGGCTCCCTGGTCCAGAGTCACGAACCTCGCTCCAAGGCAGCAAGCTGGTCTCCAACCAGCCATTGCCGCTCGGAGGTTCTCACCAGATCCCGCACTGGAGCGCCCTCAAATTCTTCAGCTCGAGCCGTCAACCATACCAACTTGCAACATACGTATTTCCGGAGCGTAATGTTGCCTCTCGCAAGGCATCTTCCGTTCCGTGGTATCGGTGATCAGCAGTCCTGTCAGCAGCCAGGGTCCTGCACCACAGGAGCAGCGGTCTCGGCTCCGAAGCCAAGCAACGGAAGACTCGACCTCCAAGCCAGCATTGACGTCGAAACGGCCGGTCAATTTTTCTTTCTTCGAGTTTTCTCATTTTTCAGCTTTTTTCACCTATTACGTACTTCGCGAGACCTATTTCTTCGAGGCGTCTCCACTCTTTTATCACCAAGCACGCTGCACGGCACTCCGAAAGCCAAAGGGGCTACCCCCGTCTCTACGCTAAGCAGCGACCCGGCCCACCAGGGGCACGAGGGAACGCCTTTTCTCTCTCGACACTTATGTCGTCCTCCCAACTTCCTGTCCTCTTGCGAAGCCTCTTGTGTCGGACCGCAGATCGATTGCTGGTTCCCCATCGGCCCACCCGGTTCGCAAATTCTCGCATGCCTCCGACCGATTCGCACATCAGCCCAGGACAGCACCGTGTGTTACCTAAGCACAAATGTGGCACATGCATACGCTCGCAGCACCTTTCTCGGGACCACCGATGACCAAACGCTCGGAACATCTCTGAGATCATTCTTGCTTTTCGCTGGCAACACCTTCCGAACGCACACCCGCCATACTCGGGCTACAAGACTTCAGCAGCCCTCGAGTCTTTCGATCAGCACAAACGCCTTGACAGACATCGAGGTCAACCTCCACGCTTACCGGCCTTTGTTGGACCATTACCACCTTGGTGGTCCAGTCACTCGGCACAACACAACACCGCGAGAAGCAACTGATGGGAGCCAGAAGTGGTGTTTTACTGCTTTGGTATTTCATTATTGTTGTTGCTGTAAAGCATCTCGCGTGTCTCAGCTGTCCGCCGCCGTCTACGCGATATCAGTACGACTACTTGTTTACATATATACATGAGTCGTTCCCCACTTCGCCAAATCTACACAAAAGCCGCAGCCCAAACGCCTCGCCCCGGCCAGGTCCTTCTCTTTAGCCCTGGCCCCATATCGCTAAATGCATCAATCGAGAGTTGAGGGGTATACACAGCAGCGGTCTTCCGAATTTTCTTCGGCTGCTCGACCACCCGCCCGCGAAAAAAGCCAAACGATATCTGAAAAAGATGACAACACAACACTCCGACAAACGCCGATATTATGACACCGGTTGAGCCTGTGGCTGCGGTTGCGGCTGCGGTTGTACGACTGGTTGTTGTGGTAGAGGTAGAGGTAGAGGTTGTGATTGATTTGGTTGAGGTTGTGGTTGCGGTTGTGGTTGCGGTTGTGGTTGCCCAGGAGCAAAAGAAGACTGGGCAAGTTGTTGTGGGATGGGGCCCGGAGGGATGAACTGCCGATTGATGACCGGTGGGGGTGGTCGTGTGACCGTCTGAAGTGGAATCGAAGCACGGTACCTCAATGCCTTTGTGTCAAAGGGGTCCAGCATATACACCGGCGCGTCATCCTCGTCATCAGACGACTGATCATATTTCCAGCGATCCGACTGCTCTTCGCTGAGCTCTCGGGCTGGGCTGGGCAAACCACGGCGGTCGATCCACAACCTGTTCAACCGGCCGATACGACGACGATACGAGGGCGGATGTGCCAATGACTGTTCGTCTTGGGCAACGCCCCTGAATTTCACTGGGGGTGGTGGGTTGGGTTTGGGCTTGTCAAGATCCATCGGAGTGGGCTCATCCATGGATCCTGAGGATGCAGACGCTGGTGGTGTCATGAGATACTGCGTCTTGGCAGGTCTGAAGCCCAAATCTTGCCTTGGGCCCTGAACGGGAGACAGCGGCTTGCCAGTGAGATCGACATAGTTCTTGTTCCAGTCGATATGGTTCTGGATCTTCTTCTCGATCTCGATGATGAGCTCCGCATTCTTCTCGGCAAGGCGATCTGATAGTTGGACAAGATCTGACTCGGCGGGACGGCCATCGGGGCGCACAGGCATACGGATCTGGGGAGGTGGAGGGGGTCGTTGAGCTGAGGGTGCCTCCGGAGCCTTTCTTTTTTGCGGCTGTTGTGAGGCGTTAGCATCGGCTGAGGTAAGTCTTGCACATCTTGCCGTTTGACTAACCTTCTGGTTTACTAGATCCTCGTCGCCCGTCCTGATGCCTAGTCGGAGCTTCTGCTCCTTGATGATGGCTCGTTGGTCGAAGATGGCTCGTTCTACCTTGAGCATATCTGCCTTGAGCAGTTCCCGGTTATGGGCTGCCAGGATGAGTTGACGACCTTCCTCAAGCTCCTTCCGCAGCCGCTTGAGTTTGTCTGCACTCTGGACATCTCTTGCCCTCGTTTTGCGAGTTTGACGGATCTCTCTTCGGCGGAAGCAGACATAGGGGTCAAGCTCGTCGCTTTCCGCATGTGTCTCGAATTTGAGTGTAGGGTTGAGCGGTTTGTTTAGGCCGATTTCGCGGCGCGACTTCCAGTACTGATATATCTGCTTGGCATGGGCCATGACCTTTGTGCTGTCTAACGGCTCCAGTCCTCGCAACATCTCCTGGTAGGATGGCACTGTCTGGTCTATGGCCGAGAAAGGCGTTATGCTTGCCGCCATGTCCTCATACACGTCCATGATCCTCTCGAAATCATCTTCGGAGAGACGAGCGGACGGTGTCAGTTTCAGGTTGTAAGACTTGAGGAACGTCTCATCGTCCTCGGTCATGTCATACATGCAACTGATGCATTCTTCTACCGTTTGGGAGAAACGGATATACGTGGATGTCTTGGCGACCTTTTGAGGGTAGAACTGGTCGTAATCTAGTTCACTCTGTTGTGGAGGGGGGACAGGAATCTCCTGGTCGGCGGCGACTCCTGCCCCCTTGAGGACAGCCTGAAGATGGTATTCCTGGTTACAGAAAGGGTAAGGTCAGCACCAGTGACATGAATGTGTGCATGGGTAGGTAAGGTGAGTTGGTGATGGAGGCATGTTGGAGGCGCGGCAAACGGTTGGCACGTGCACAGGCACGTGACCCCGGTCGCGATCAATCGGACATAGGTGTTCAACTCACATTTTCCTCGGCCTGTTCGACACCGGTGGCTATTTGGTTTTCGGAAGTGAGTGATTCATATTCGGAGGCTTCAATTTGATCCTCTCTGAGCACCGCAAGTTGTGTTTTGACACTCAGTTTCTTGTACCGAACCTTGCGGGTCGCCATGGTGAAGGTGTGAGAAATTGCGGCAGAAAGGCCTGGGGAAACCCCGACGAAATTTTTTTTATCTCATGCGGGATTGCATGCGAAATCGAACCGTCGAGTTTTTTGATGGAAAACTCGCGTCGTGGGTGATATTTTGATGGGCAAAATCTGGTCCCTCGATGGAGTGTCGTTGAGGTTTCGGCGCAGATTTTGCTGTTTTGGCGGCGGATTCGACGGCCAATGCACGGTCTTGGCGATTGGCTGGGCTCTGCTCTTGCGAAGCCTGAATGGCGGGGGGAGGGGTTGAATGGGGTGGTTTTGGGCGAAGTTTTGCTGGTCGCGCTGGCTTTGCTGGCTTTTCAGGGAGGGAACGTGAGCGTGCCCACTGCCCGGGCCGTCCATGGTCTGCGCGTCCACTCGCACCAGTCAACCACCACTGCCAGTGGCCACTGCACTGTTTGAAAGTTGGAAGCGCGGGCGCGCCTCACAACCCGACTCCAACCTCGACCGCCTGAAGCCCAGTTGCCAACCTGGAGACCAAAGGCAGTGCCAGCCCGCTCCGATAAGAGCAATATTGTCATGTAAGGTAAGGATTGGCGTGCAATCTTACAGAGATGCACCGCGGATTCAGCGATTCTGTTTTGATACCTGTTTTTGCTCGTTTTCATTATTACTATCAGAACCTTGTGGCTTTCGGTAGAATGACGATGCAAGCAACTTGAGCATTTGCTGGTCGTCATGGGCTCCTCGAATTGAGGCCATCAAGTGCTCAACCTGACAACACCTAACTTTGATAAATTAAAGTCTGATATCCTGCACCACTTGTTCATGGCATTGAAATCGCATTTGATATTCAACGACAACTTATGACCCATCTGAAGACTTAAGGCAGTTGACCTTTATAAATAATGCATCATAGCCAAATGAAGATGGATTCCGAGGTGCAAATCATATGCGCAGCACATGCGATGCATTCCCTTCAGAATCCCCAAAACGGTCAATGTTTTGTTTGGTTTACAACGAGGAGGCACGCGAACAGTCCCGACAGACATCAACCTTGACCGTCGAAAGGGGCAGCGTGTTGAAATGAATCAATCAATGGGCTGATGCGAAACGAGGAGAAGTGGCCCGTGCATCCCACTTTTTACCCCACCATCCACCGCATCGATCCTCGTGCCTGCCCCCACTGTCCGCCTGCCCAGCCGAGCCAAAGGCCGCGGCCCGCCTCTCCCTCTTTTGCCTCCAGTTCCAGTCAGTGACCGCCAAACCGAAGAGGGACCTGACTGCGGGACAGTGGCCGCCTGCCAAAACGTCTGCGGGCTGCCTGCTCTGCTGGTGTCAGCCCAGGAGTGGGTGAATGGGTGGCCCCCGCTGTTCGGTGAGGCAATCGAGCGCCGCACTGCAGCTAGTGACAGCCCGAGCTACCTGGACCTTGACCACTTGTCAACCACCACTGGCATCCCATCTCAGCCTTATTCCTGCCTTGTCCAGACCCTTATCGACCCGGAGTCGACCCCTAATTCCTCCAACTGGTGAATACCTCCTCCTTCACATTTTCCCTTTGCTGCTCAAGTGTTGACCCAATACGCAGTGCCCGAACTACTTCCTGAAGGAGCGACTACCGATACGGCCCATTCGCATTCGCTACCTATCTACCGCTTCAGCATCGCATCGCATCGCATCGTTGGGCACGCGCGCACATTGCTATCATCAGGAGGACGACAACCAGCGGTGGAAAGGAAACCCGAACAAGGCGAGAACTTGTCGACGATCCAACACCGCGATTTTTACACTGCCGTACATCTTTTATACCCAATAATACCAAATATCCGTCGGCCGAAAGAATCCAGCATACACAACACAAGCAGCAACCATGGGCAACACCACCAGCTCCGTCCTGGACAACATTGTCCAGGGATCCAACTGTACGTTTCGCTCAGCAGCTTCCCGGTGTCGGAACTTATCTATACTTCCCTCACTATATCCCGATCCTTGCAGTATCGGCGGCGGCTCACTATGACTGCTCTTTGCTACGACGAGGTTGCGGAGATATAGGGATATGCACATCGCATGTCGCTTTACATCAATAAGCGCTATGCGCTTTTCTAGCAAGCTCTTGTCATGATCACTTTACTAACAACCTTTTTCTACAGTCGACAGGGAAGAGGTTGACCGCTTACGCAAGAGGTTTATGAAGTTGGACAAGGCATGTTTCTACACCATCATTTCCGTGCTGCCATCTTATACACACCAACCGTTGTCGCAAGTCAGCGAATACAAACTCGAGCGGTCAAGATGGTGTTATTGTTGGAATACTTGGCTAACCGGCGGGATTTGGTCCAACAGGATAACTCGGGTACCATCGAGCGCGAAGAGTTCTTGAGCCTACCGCAAATATCGACGAATCCTCTTGCTACAAGGTTCGCTATATCCTAATCTTTGATATCTACCCTTGCCCAATTCTGCACATCGCATATCTTTGGGTTTTCGCGGGGCAAAGCTGTCTGGGCGCAATATACGACATCATCTGGAGTGTGAACAGGCGACTAACAGTTTGCGATGTTGGGAATATACAGAATGATTGCCATCTTCGATGAAGACGGTGGCGGCGACGTCGACTTCCAAGAATTCGTATCCGGTCTGAGCGCCTTCTCGAGCAAAGGCAACAAGGAGCAGAAGCTGCGGTTCGCCTTCAAGGTGTACGACATTGACCGTGACGGCTACATCAGCAACGGCGAGCTGTTCATCGTGCTGAAGATGATGGTGGGCAGCAACCTCAAGGACCAGCAGCTGCAGCAGATTGTCGACAAGACCATCATGGAGGCGGATCTGGACAAGGACGGCAAGATCAGCTTTGAGGAGTTCACCAAGATGGTGGAGAACACGGATGTCAGCATGA